TGACTATTGGTAACTCCCTAAATAAGTCGACATCCTTTTCAAAACCGCATGTTTTCTAAAAAGCGAGGCAATGTTCGGTTATTAGACATAATAGTTGATCTCTCGTATTTATGCTCGGGGGCGGATGCTATCGGTCTCAATAAACGAATACCCTTTTCAAACTCTGCATCCTTAATGATTTTTAAATTAAATAAAGATCGAACTCAAAATTTCTGATTTTAAATATAGGGTAATCAACTAGGTACCAATTTTTGGGTGCTTGTGGGGGTGGTAATCCTTCCCCACGCGTAACCGACTTTCGAACCTAATTTTGGATTTTCGTAGACCCTAAAACTCAGTATTTTAATAAAAATAAAATGTTTTATTAAAATCACCCGGTTTTTACGGTGTTTCAATCTCACCTTACATGATTGGTGGCGACTCCTCACATTTCGAAAAATCATTTCAAAGAGAAAAACCCCGAGTCGGTATCAGTTTTCTTAATGGTTGGATATATGTTTAGTTTCCTAAGTGACCAAGGTTTGAATCTTTTTCGCCCCAATTTGTTTTCTTTGTTTTCTTTCAACCAGAGGGTGGCACGTGCCATTCTTTGATTGGTGGAAATAAATATATTAAATTAAAATAAAGTTAGTCATCCAGCCGAATGGTGACATGTGGCATGACATGTGACATCATTCGATTGGAGGATTCAATTTATTTTAATTTATTAAAAGTAGGATTAAATTGAGAGAATATGTAAATAGAAGGGACTAAATGTGTGATTATATCAAAATATTTAATTATTGTTAATGACATTTAACTCGGGGTGACCACATCTTAATTAAATAAAAACAAAAGTGACCATATCTTATATTTTTTGAAATCAGTGACCAAAAGTGGACAAAACACAAACATAAGTGATCATAGTGTAGTTAACCCTTTTTTTTAATAATACACCTGATGATATTGAATTATATGTGAATGTACATGCATTTTCATATTATATGGAACTCCAATTTTAAGCACGAAACCAAGGTCAACCTCTATAATCAAATTATTGTTAGTACTTGTAATGAAAAAAGGGTTGTTACCACTTCCCCCTAAGATCTTCAATTTTATGAAAAATTCTAGAATGGATGTCAAATATTGATATCCACCACTAATTTTATAAGGTAAAACTAATAAATGGACATTAACCTATATTAAAATTATATTTTTAGATAATAAACTTTCAAAAGTTATATAATAGACATTAAACATTAGATTTTATTATAAAATAGACACAACACCATTATATATCATTAAGATGATGCGGCATGTAAAATTAATAGAAAATATATTATTTGACCATTTAATTGTAACTAAAATTTTCTTTTAATGTTAATTTTAATTAAAATAATTTTTATTATGTTAGTTAAATTGAAAATAAATGAATATAAATAAATTAAATATTATTTTTTAGTTCATATTATAAATATTGACTTTATATCATACAAATTATTTGATATACTATCAAAAGTTAAGGATTGTTTCAATTATTTTTATTTAAGTTTGAATGTATTTTTCTTATTAATGTGATATTATAATTTTTTTGGATGTATTTTTTTAAAATTGTGTTTAAACTTCTCAAACAAAAGTCAAATGCTTGAATCACATCATTCAATAAAAAATAATTACATCGTTGAAAATTCAATTTTTTGGATATAAAAAATTATAAAATTATAATTTACAAATACAATACGATTAATAAATAATTAGTTATAAAAAATTTGATGAATTATTATTTTTAAATATATAATTTTTTAAATTTTAAAAATAAATTGGTTATATATATATATATTGAAAATTTTCTATTTTGTTTTTAATAAAATCTAAAGTTTAATGTCTATTTTATAACTTTTCAAAATCCAATGACAAGTGAAATCATTTTAATAAATTTAATGACAATTTCTGAATTTTACCGTATTTTAATTAGTGGTGCATATGGGTGCACATCATTAATGATGCACATCGGTGTGTCACTCCTATAGACTCATCCTGCACTTATATACTATCTCGATTATATTTAAAGTCTTAGTTTAAGTCCTTAAATAAAACAAATATCATATAATATATTATTTTTATCTATAAAACTTGAACTTAATTTTTTTAAAAATAATCTGAAATGATTATAAAATGGTATTTATTCAGAACTTTTTACCTATTGACAAGGTACATACATCAGACTCAAAACTTTTAGGGATATCGATATTTATGTTTTTACCACTAAAGTAAGGTGATAGTTAAACTTGAACCTAATAAATTACTTAAAAAGAATGAGGAATTTCTTGCGATAACAAATTCAAAGGTTTTTGGCTTTATATGACGGTGGAAGATTGACATTTCTATTTTGGTGCTTAGTTAAGAGATACAAATAATCCCTTTAACTACTCCCTTTGAAAAAAAAAGAAAACCGACAAATCCAAGAATTAATTTCTAAATCGACTGATTTAATTTTTGCTACATATGTGGATTCACATGTGTTAATCAGCATGCTAATTTGTTTCTTCCTCTTGTTTAAGCTGCGGTTTTTGTTTTTCTGGTTTTTTATTCAATCATAGTTTTATGAGTTCTCGAATTTAATTTTATTCGAATATTTTGAGCTATTTTAGTCATTGAATCAAATGTTCGAGAGACTATCAATCATTTGACAATAAACGTTCATATCCCTGCATACGTGATGCTTAAGTTGATGACTCTTATTTTATGATCAAACTTCATTTGATAAGATATATATTGATATATATAGGCTTAAATATACAAAAGGTGCCCAACGTATGCATTTAGTTCCAGTTTAGTGCCTAACGTTTATTTCGTTCCAGTTTAGTGTCTAACGTTTCATTCCGTAACTCAAATTGGGTCAGGCCGTGACGTACCGTTTAGTTTGGTTGTTAAGTGACAATTGTTACAACTTGGTAATTCTAAAATTTTATTTAAAATTAAAAAATTAAAATTATATATATTTTAAAAAGAGCACAAATTTTGAAATAAACCCAAAACTTAGAAAACCTTCATTTCAACCCATAAATCCAAGCCAGCCACAAGCTTTTGCCGTCAACGAAGCTCCACCAGACCTCCCCTCCCCTCAGCGACCTAAACCCCCATGAAATCTTGACCGATCGACGGTCGATTGGCCGTTGGAATCTCGTGGGATCGCGATTTTCATCCTAGGGTTCGTGGGGTATAAAACGTTGATTCATCATCGATCGATCGTCGATCGATCACGATTTAATGGGGTTTTGATCGCCGAGGGGAGGGGAGGTTGGGTGAAGCTTTGTCGACGGCAAAATCCGGCGACTGGCATGGGTTTAGGGGTTGAAATGAAGATTTTTAAAGTTTTGAGTTTATTTCAAAATTTGTGTTTTCTTTTTAAAAAATATATAGATAATTTTAATTTTTTAATTTTAAATAAAATTTTTAAATTTACTACGTTGTTTACATGTCACTTAACGGCCAAATTAACGTTGTTGATGGTCCGGGCACCTAAATGAGTAACGGAATGAAACATTAGACACCAAACTGAACGAAATAAACGTTAGGTACAAAGCTGGAACAAAAGGTATACGTTGGACCCTTTTTGTATATTTAAGCCATATATATAATGAGGACTTGATCTTTTATATAGTATCATACATATTTTATACGATTAAAGAAAATCATTTAAAATAAAATCAATATGTATCATACCATACCAACAATTTGATAAGGATAGTTAATGATATTAATATTTGTACCCACCAATAATACTATAAAGGTAGGAGAATAGATTATGGAAAATTAACGTATATGGATTAAGTCACAAATCCAAGCTTAATAAAGGGATTAAACAAATCAAAATTTGACCTTATCTTTTATATAGTTATACGGTGGGATAAAGTTTTGGTGTTTTTAATCGATTTTTTTAATAATTTGAGATCATTTGATAGGTTCAGTATTATCAAAACTTAATTGAATAAATCAGCTAATCGAGAAATCGATAGTCCGACCAATGGTACTAAATCAAATATAGAACATTTAAAAAAATTGAGAAAATTAAGCTAAAAACCAATCTCTATAATACCTATATCCTTCTTACTTATAAATCAAAGGATATTAGAACATGTTCGATCTCATATTTTCTTACATATTTTATTAATAATGATATCAATCGAATTAAACTCAATCAATTTTTATATATTTACTTAACTAAATTTGGATCCAAAATTGATGATTTGATTAGTTTGATCACTTTACTCAATTTGAAGTGATTACAAGGTTGTATCTCTTGAGAGTTTTTCTTAATCAATTGACAAAGCACACATTCCTACGTACACAATTTCTTGAATCCAAATCTTCTAAAAAGATGTTACCTTTTGTCAGTAAAATAAGGCTAAAAATAATTATATTTAAACATATTCGAATGAAACCCAAAGTAAAGTACATAAAAATGATAAAGTACACAAATGGTCCCTCTACTCTAACAAATTACTTTATTGAGTCTCTCAACTATTAAAAGTTACAAAAAACCTGACTATTAATTATGTTTCAAATTCGTCATTTTTTGTTAAAATTTTGATGTCAATTTGAGTTTTACTTTAATCTGCTGACTGAGATATGATAAAATTTTGATCTTATAATCTCAAATAATTATCATATCTTAGTCAACATATTAACGTCCAACTTAGACTATCGTTAAACTTTTAATGGAAAAGGACGAGTTTGGAACATAATGAATAGTTGAGTGACCATTTTGTAACTTATAATAATCGAGGGACTCAACAAAGTAAGTCCTATAGTCAAGGGATTATTTTGTAACTTTTTATAGTCAAGGCAGTCAATTAAGTATTATATTATAGTCGGGAGACTATTTGTGTACATCCTAAAAAATGTAAAAGTAAGTGAAAAAGGTAAGCTGTTCTTCCAGGGAATGACAACAGCAAGCAATGACCCTCTTTATAAGACTTCCTTCTACACTTTGAACTCACCACTTCCATCCAAAATACCATATCTCTCTTTTTCTCCCATCTCTACATTCTCACCTGTGCCATATATATATATATATAGAAGACTGGCTCCATTACTAATTTCATGGAGATGTCAACGTCAAAAACTTACGAAGCTATTGAAACCGAATCTGGTTTCGCTTTGCTTCAAAGGAACACCGCCCCATCACAGCCCGGCGAAAGGAGGGGTCGAAGAAAGCAGGCCGATCCGGGGCGGTTTCTAGGCGTCAGACGTAGGCCGTGGGGTCGATACGCGGCGGAAATCCGTGACCCGACGACGAAAGAAAGGCAGTGGCTCGGCACGTTCGACACGGCTCAAGCAGCAGCCCTTGCTTATGATAGAGCTGCACTTTCCATGAAAGGAACACAAGCAAGAACAAACTTCGTATACTCCAACAACACTACTACTGCAGCTGATTTGCATCCCCTTTTGTCTTTTGATGCAATCCAACCCACTATGGAATCTGATAACAACATTAATAGTGCAGATGAAAACAGTTTCTTTTTAAGCGGTGATCGAAGTGGAAACTCTGGTTATTTGTCTTGCATTGTCCCTGATAACTGCTTGAAACCTCCTCAGATACCAACTGGTTCTGTTTCTTCACATGTTCCAAACATCTGCAACTCTTACATGAGCCAAAACCCCATTGAAAACCGGTCGTTTTCTGGTAACTATGCTCAGGGTTCTGTTTGGAGTGGTGATCACATGCAGCAACAAACATCCTGGGAGATGAACTCTAATGAACTCTCGGCTATATTCAACCCTTCCCCATTGGTGGTTGAAGACGATACCAGCAACTACAACAACATGATGATCCAAGAAATCTCTTCAATGGCTCCTTTTAGTGATGTAGCCGACTTCGGGTATTCACTTTTTTGAGTTCTTTTTAAGGCTTTTGCAACTCAACGCATCTATCAGCATGGAAGGTTCAATGTCGTTTTCAGTTTGTCGATGTAATTAAAGTTTTGAATCCTCGTTTTGAGGAATGTTGTCACCTTAACTTTCCCAAAGTTAATGAAAGTTATGTTCGAAAGTGTTGTGTCATGAAGTTGAGAATCAACTTTGAAGTAGAAAGATCAATTCAATGGGGGTAGTATTGCATGATTGTCTGTCTCTTTGGGGCTACCTGCTCAAGGTTTTTTTTCCAACAACCCTAGTTATGTTGAGAATTAAATTTTAATGCTGAGATAAGGCATCTACATTGGTCACACAACAATCTCTGTTTTAATGCTGAGAGAATTAACAAATCTTTTAATTACATGCCTCTTTCTTGATGGGGAGCAGGGAATGGTGCCCACAAAACATGCAAGTCTGAAAGCCGCTGAAAGAACCCTTCTTTCGATAGGGTCTAACCGATTAAGAAGTAAGCGGCATGATGCCGTATACACGGTTACTTCCGGCATCCATGCTAACAAGCCGTCTAACACCTGAAATCATTTTTCATGATTATCGTAAATGAATCATCTCGAAATATCAATGTCTACATTAGGTATCCTAATGGCCACCACTGGATCCATCATCACTATAACTAGTAACCTTCTTAACAGTGCATGACCATACATAGCAGCACATCAGATCATTAGAGCACTGAGTCAACTTCAAGCTTTTGTATTGGCAAAAACAGTTAAAAGCAAAAAAAAAAACAAAAAAACAAAAAGTATTAAAGGCATTCATAACCAATATGTCAAGCATGATTTAGCTTAAAAGAATCAACTCAAAGGAACAAGATTAAGTTTCAACCTTTTTAATGTCAATATCCTATAAATGCTGCACCTTTAGCAGTTTTTCATGATATAGCTTTAGCAGCTGAGATGCTTCCGCTCTACGGCAGTGGTTGATAAAATTGTCAATAAACACACGATCTGAACACTCCAACAATGCCTGCAAGTTAATGCGGTTGATGACACCTTTGGACAACAAATCTAAAGCAAACAGACCCCTAGGAACAATCTTTTTCTCCATGCTCATCTGCACAAGTTGGGTACGTTTCGTAATAACTCTAGACGAAAAACCCATTTTGTTCACAAGGAAATCCATGGTTATCATCAATTTCTCGTCGGAATACCTAATGAACAAGGGATTCCTCCGAAAAGTTTCCAGAAGCTCCTCCTCAGACAAACCAAACTTCTCAAAAACTTCAATCTCCTTTACCATATCTTTTAACTTGATTGGATTTCTAGAAAATGTTGTAGGCTGTGAGCCAAGTGTTAAAGCAATATTACATTCAGCAACTCCATGATCCAGCAAAGTATTGATATTGGCTAACAAACAATAATCGGGAAGTACCCTATAAGGCGCGGTTGGCGTTTCAAAGCTCGAATAATCTTCTCATCGGACTCGAGCAAAGTACTAAGGAAATCATAAGATGGGATTATTGGATTTTCTAAGCTTGAGGACAAAATTCTGGGGTTACAAGACAAGGGGGTGTTTGGTAAACAATTTTTAAGAAGATTTTAGCTTATTTTAGCATAAATAGTTTATTGGTAGTTAAACATTTCATTTTTAGTGTTTGATAAACACTTTTTTAAAAGAATTTATTGTGTTGCGCAAAATAAACTGAAAATTAAAACGTTGAAAAATCCAGCGGTTTGAGAGAGCTTATTGTAAAATAAGATGTTAGATGACATATTTGACCTTATAAGTTTCATAATTACATCCTTGCTATAAAATTTAATCTAATGAAATATTCTTATTCGTTTGTACTTGTTTGGATTTATATCTCTTTCTTGAATATTTATGTAATCTAAATTTATTTTCAATGAATTTTGTGTAAAATGAATTTTATGCAGCGTCTAATGATGAATTAATGAAATTTTATTTTATTATTATATTTTTTTGTTGTATATTCTAAAATATATTTTAGTTAAGAAAATATAGCAAACATGAAAGTGATATTTTATACATGATTAATAATACTTATCAATCTCACAAAATTAATATTTTGTATATATTAAAATTAAAAAATATATTAAATTTTTTAAAAAATATTCACTAATTTCTTAAGAAATTTTAATTCCTTCCCAAAATAATTTTATCAAAATAATTTGATCACAATAAAAACTAAAATATAATATATATATATATATATATATTCACTTAACAATTAAATGTATCATCCCTTATTTATCATTTTACTCATATTAACTATAAATTATCAATTAAATTTTACTAGAATAAACGTTAATTAAATCAATTTCTTAAATCAACTAATCAAATTAGTTGATCAAACACACTACTAGAATCAACTACCAACTATAAATTCTTTGCCAAACACCATCAAAATATAGCAAGGGCAAGGTCAGGGATCGAAACACCTTTAGAGATTAAGAAATCGAGTTTAGGCAAAATGGTTTTTTTAACCTTTGAGGTAATCACCACTGGGCGTCTCATGATGAGGCGGGCGATTTTGGGTTTTGAGAAACCATGGTTCTGGTGAACTTCAATGACCGAGTCGGGTTTTCCTGGGTTTCGAAATGAACATGTTTGGAGGCTCTTAAAGCATATTCTAAGGACAACCCACATTTGTTCTTGCTGTATGATACTGTAAATGAATGCTCATTTGAAGAACTTGACAAGCATCTGAGAATTATCAGAGACTGTGAAATTCCTAAAAGATTGTGAATTTGAGTGGTCCTCCCATGGAGAATTGTTTTGCAGAGAAAGTAAAACATGGGAAAGTGTAATTAAGTTAAAAAAGACAATGGATTTACCAGGTTTTGGGTGGAAAAGAAAATAGATTTCCTCTTTGAAATTTGAATGGAGGCAGCTTCTGGGTATAAAGGAAGAAAACCCCTGCAGTAAACCTTAAAATAAAAAAGAAACAACAATTCTTGTCTATACTACTGTTTTTTTGAAATTAATCATTAATATCCGATCTATTGACCGACTAATCCAGATCGAGTACTGCAGAGGCGAGAACTGTCCTCCAAACTCAGTTTGCTCTATTTGCAAACGTCAGGATTCAAACCCCTGACATTACTTAAGGAACCTAATGCCTCATCCCACTATACTAGCTTATTGGTTGTCTATCCTACTGTTTAGCTTCATTAGAGAAACAAAGCTTATTGAGTTTAGGATTAATTCCTATTCTAGCCCTTATACTATAGTAAAAAATTCATTTAGTCATCTTTTATATAATGTCTAAATTATCTATAACACCTTAACCCACAATTTTTAAAGCACAGTCAAATTCATTATCTTATTCATGTTGTAATAATAATAACATCAATCATATTAAGATTCAATTGATTTTTTACTAGATCGATATGTGTTTAAATATTTTAGGTTTTATTTTGAACCGATTGATTTTAAATCGAGTGAATTTCGAATTTGAGTTCTAATCACTTTGATTCCAATTATTTTAGGTTTGAATGTCAGGATTTTCTAGTTGTATCACTTCATATTCAATAATTCGAGTTCAATTTCACATATTAATGGGTTTAAGTTAGATAATAATAAATTAAAAGTTTATTTGTAATTTTGTTCATGTATTATCAATTTGACCATTAAAATTGTTTGAATTGAATCATATTTACCACATAAATTATTATGATTTAACATGTAAATAACTCATTGTGTTACGGTACACATTGGCATAGTAGTATTCAATCCCTCCTTAAAACCTATTCAAATTACAGACTACAAACTAAATGATTTCAATGATTAAGAAATTGTTATCGGTTGCAGTCTCAAATTTGAACATAGCATATGCTAAGATATGAATGTTTATTGTCAAATGATGAGACTATGACATCTACATCGGCCACGTAATTTCTGCTTTTGACACTGAGAATTAACCAACCTTTTAATTTACAAAGCTCTTTCTTGGGGCATTGGGGGAGCAGGGATGAAACAACCCGTTCCTCGATACATGATCGGCAATTTACTCAACTCTAACCGAGTAAGTACTGAAAAATGTCGGTAAGAGATGATCCATCCACACGGTTACTTACGACTTCCACAACAAGAAGCCATCTAACACCTGAAACCGGTTTTCACAGTAATAGTAAATGATTTATATCCCAAAATAGACGGCTAAGTTCGAGATAGCGGACTTTAAAAATTAAAGAAAGAAAGAAAGCAAGTCACCGGGGTTTAGCCAATTGTTCCATCACTTTAGGCCAAGAATCAGTGCGCAAGATTAGGAAAGCTGAATCCAAGTACATGCAACTTATATTAGTAGGAACATGAGAATATTCTTAAATTATAACTTTCATACGAAGACGACGTTTAATGTCGAATCAGCTGTTCACTACATTCACAGTTCGAAACTGAGATTCTTCGATCAAAATTACCAATCATGCAACCTCCGGACTTCAAGAACATTGTAAAGGTACAAAAAAGAAGGCAATATCAACAGTTAAACGCATAAACCAAAGAAAAGGAAAACTGATTTCACAAGTCACAACAGCTACCTAATGCACAGTCATTTCATTCAGATTATGTATAAGCTCTGCCTGCAATTGAAGCTGAAAGTAAATTTTGCATGCTTGAAAGATTATCAATCAAGAAAAAAGCTACGAGATTGTATCAAAAGCATTCTTACCGAAAACCAAGTATGATTTAGTTAAATGACAGACTAAAATGGAACACGAATAAAATCTGAACCATTAATCTCAATAATCAACATCCTATAAATGCTTCACTTATCACCATCTACTCCCCAATTCTTAGAAAGATCCAACTTTCATGATATAGCTTTAACAGCTAAGGTGCTTCAGCTTTATGGCGGTTGATAAAGTTCTCGAAAAAAACACATGATCAGTAGTGTCCAACAATGTCGCATGTTAATGCACTTGACGACACCTTTGGACAATAATCTTAGAGCAAACAGACCCTCGGAACAATCCTGTTCTCATGCTCCTCTCAGAACCTGGGGACGTTTCACAATAACACTAGACGGAAAGCCCATTTTGTTCACAAGGAAATCCATCATCACCATAGATTTATCCTCAGACACCAACATGAACTTGGGACACCTATGTAAGGCTCCGGAAACGTCCTCCTCGGTCCAACCAAAATTCTTAAAAGCTTCAACCTTGCTCTTGAATGTCGGTTTGCTTATCATACTCATCGCATAGAGTGCTACCATAAACATCCGCTTGGACGGATCAAATCCCATTTCCTTTGCTTCCTCTACCTTAACCTTAAACTTATTTGGACTGGTAACAAATGTTATAGGCATTGAACAAATTGCTGAAGCAATGTTACATTTAGCAACTCCATTATCCAGCAAAGTATTGATATTGGGTGACAAAATATCACAAGGATTGTATCCCATAAGGCGCGGACAGCGTTTCATAGAAAAGAAAACCTTCTCATCGGATTTAAGCAAGGTTCTAAGGAAATTATAAGATGGGATTATTCGATTTTCTAAGCTTGATGAAAAAAAGGATGGGTTATTAGACAAGATATGGGCAAGGCTATGGATTGAAACACCTTTAGACATCAAGAAATCGAGTTTAGGCAAAATGATTTTTTTAATATTTGAGACGAGCTCTGCTGGGTTTCTCTAATGAGTCGGGTGATTTGGGTTTTGAGAACCATGGTTCTCTAGAACTTCAATGACCGAGTCGGGTTTTTCTGGGGACTCGAAATGGACACGTTTGGAGGCTCTTAAAGCAGATTCTAAGGACAACTCACATTTTTTCTTGAGGTATGAAACTATAAATGAGTGCTCGTTTGAAGAACTGGAAACTCATCTGAGAATTATCAGAGACTGAAATTCCTAAAAGATCGTGACTTTGAGAGGTCCTCCCATGGAGAATAGTTTTGCAGAGAAAGTAAAACATGAGAGAGTGTAATCAAGTTAAAAAGATGGGATTTACCTGATTTTGGGCTGAAAAGAAAATAGTTCTCTTCTATGAAATTTGAATGGGGGCAGCTTCTGGGTTTAAAGGAAGAGAACCCCAGCAGTAAGGCTAAAATTATCGGACATTTCAGTTGATTTTGCAGGTCGGGTAAAATTAGATATATGTTAACTCAGGTTGATTTGACATTAATCCAGACCGGGTTCAGGTCAGTTATTTTCAGTTCAGATCGATATCATTCAGGTCAAAAGTTCATGTCCGAAGCATATAAAGATCAGGTTAATTTAGGTTCGGGTGAAATTCAGTCGGATCGTTCGATTGGGTCACATCATTGACAAATAATTCAGGTCGGATGTTTATCGGATACAGATTGAGTTCAGGTCGGGTCGTTTTATTTTTAGGATTAATTATTTTGTCATCTTTCGTGATTGTTGAATTGAAGTTGTAATTGTATATGATTTCGAGTAAATTAAGAGAAAATAAATATCCATGATCAATTTTTAAAAAATATAAATTTAAGACAAAATTGAAGAAATGTAAAATTACAATAAATTTTTAAAATATAAATTAAACAACATACATAGGTAAATGACTAAATCGAAATAAATTTAAAATGTGAAGTTTTTAATTAATATAAAAATGACTAAATTAAACACATTTAAAAAGTTCTGGGTCAGTAACAAAAATATAAATAACAGCAAACAATGAGCCAAATGAAGATATAAATATAAATTTAAGGACTAAATTGAATACATATAAAAGTGAAATATTTAAAATTGAAATAAATTAAAAAACACAAAAAGATTAAATCGAAATAAATGCAAAATGTGAAGAAATGATGAAAAATATAGTAAATTGCAATCATTTAAAAAATTGAAAAAATATAATATATATATATAATATAAGTTTATATATAAACTATAATTATATTATAAACTATATAATTATTATAAGCTATATATATAAATTATGTTTATATGAACTATATATGTAAATTATATATGTATAAACTATAAAAAATATATAGTTTATAAACTATAATTTATATTATATATATATATATATATATATATATATTATTCAAAGTGAGTGGTGAGATAAAGCTTTTTAAAATAAAGATTTTTTTGTATGAAATTTTTTGATTTTATTTGGGAATTTAGAGGGAAATTGAGAAATTTTGAAAATAAAGGGAAATTGAGAATTTAGAGAGAAATTAAAAAATTGGAGGGAAATTGAGAATTTAAATTTTATTTGGAAAGATATTTTGGGTTAATTAGGCTCATGCTCCAAAAAATATATAGTTTATAAACTATAATTTATATTATATATATATATATTATATATATTATTCAAAGTGAGGGGTGAGATAAAGCTTTTTAAAATAAAGATTTTTTGTGAAATTTTTTGATTTTTTGGGAATTATTGAGAAATTTTGAAAATAAGGGAAATTGAGAATTTAGAGAGAAATTAAAATTGGAGGGAAATTGAGAATTTAAATTTTATTTGGAAATATTTTGGGTTAATTAGGCTCATGCTCCTCCAACAATCATCATTTTTCAACTGGTATTTGATTTTTGATTTCTTTCATTTTAGTTATGGTTTAATTGTAAATATCTTCTTGAATTTTCATTCGATGCAATTTAATCATGTATACATTCTAATTACTTTTAATTTCTCTCTCCCTCCCCCTCTCTCTCTCTCTCTATATATATATATATATATATATATATATATAATATATATATATTATAAACACTATGCATAAACTATATAAAGTAATAAATTACATATTTTATAAAACCCTAACCCTAAACCTAAACCCTAATCATAAACCCTAACCTTAACCCTTAACTCTAAACCCTAACCTCTAAACTATATATAACTTATAGTACATGTATATAAACCATGTATAGTATATATAAACTAGATATATATAACCTATATATATATAACTATATAAAGTAAATTACTATATAGTTTATATAATACTAGCATAAACTATATAAAGTAATAAATATATAGTTTATAGAAACTCTAAACCCTAAACTCTAAATTATAATCCTAAACTTTAAACCATAAATACTTAACCATAAACCATAAGCTCTAATATAAAGACCAGATTAATGCATATATTTGCAATAAAAGAGTGGACTTATGTATTGGACCTATGTAAACTAATGTAAATGGACTAGTACTATTGCAAATGGACTTAGGGTTTTTATTACTTATTCATAACAACAAATAAATGGGCTATTAATGTGAATTAACCTAACATGCAATTAAAATACTAATTATGCAAATGAAATTAATACGGCATGTACTACTATTATGAACATATAATATGCAATATGACATACTAATTATTTAACACCTATTTAATCATGTTTTATATAATTTACATTTAAATATTTTATTAATTTTATAAATAATTTTATATAATATGTATGTATAAACCATGTATTGTATATATAAACTATATATATATATAACTTATATATAAACTATATAAAGTAAATTACATATACAGTTTATAGAAACACTATGCATAAACTATATAAAGTAATAAATATATAAATTATAGAAATCCTAAACCCTAAATCCTAAACCATAACTTTAAACCATAACTTTAACTTAAACACTAAACACTAAACCTTAAACCCTAATATAAATAGACTAACCCTAATGCATATATATTTTGTAATAAAAGAGTGAGCTTATGTATTGGGCCTATATAAACATAATGTAAATAGACTAGCATATCGCAAATGGACTTATTTTTTGATTTATTATTACTTATTCATAACAACAAAATAATGGGCTACTAATGTGAATTAACCTACATGTAACTAAATACTAATTATGCAAATGAAATTATATGACATGTACTACTATTTATGAATCATATAATATGCAATTTAACACATAATTAATCATGTTTTATATAATTTACATTTATATAATATTATTATTTTTATTAAATAATTTTATATAATATGTATGTATAAACCATGTATAGTATGTAAAAACTATATATATACCTATATATATACAAACTATATAAAGTAAATTACTTATATGGTTTATAGAAGCACTATGCATAAACTATAAAGTAATAAAGTATATAAATATAGAACCCTAAACTCTAATTATAAACCCTAAACCCTAACCTTAAATCATAAACACTAAACCATAAACCCTAATATATGAACTAGCACTAATACATATATATTGTAATAAAAGAGTGGCTTATGTATTGGGCCTATGTAAATTAATGTAAATAGACTAGCACTATTGTAAATGGACTTATTTTTGGGTTTTATTATTACTTATTCATAACAACAAATAAATGGGCTATTAATGTGAATTAACCTAACATGCAACTAAAATACTAATTATGCAAATGAAATTAATACATGTACTACTATTTATGAACCATATAATATGCAATGACATACTAATTATTTAACACCTAATTAATCATGTTTTATATAATTTATATTTAAATAAGTTTATTAATTTTATTAAATAATTTTATATAATATGTATGTATAAACCATGTATAGTAAATATAAACTATAGTAAATATAAACTATATATATAACCTCTCTCTCTCTCTCTCTCTCTCTCTATATATATATATATATATATATATATATATATATAGTAAATTACTTATATAGTTTATAGAAACACTATGCATAAACTATATAAAGTAATAAAGTATATAAATTAGGAACCCTAAACCTTAAATCATAAACCATAAACTTTAAACCATAAATACTAAATGCTAACCAAACCCTAAAACCTAATGTAAATGAACTAGCACTAATGCATATATATTTGTAATAAAGAGTGGGCTTATGTATTGGCATATGTAAACTAATGTAAATAGACTAGCACTATTGCAAATGGACTTATTTTTGGTTTTATTATTACTTATTCATAACAACAAATAAATGGCTATTAATGTGAATTAACCTAACATGCAACTAAATATTAATTATGCAAATGAAATTAATATGACATGTACTACTATTATGAACCATATAATATGTAATGTGACATACTAATATTTAACACCTAATTAATCATGTTTTATATAATTTATTTAAATAATTTTATTAATATATTTATATAATATGTATGTATAAACCATGTATAGTATATATATATATATATATATATATATATATATAAGTAAATTACTTATATAGTTTATAGAAACACTATGCATAAACTATATAAAGTAATAAAGTATATTTTTATAAAAACCCTAAGCCCTAAACCCTAAACCTAAACACTAAACCATAACCCTAATGTAAATAGACTAGCACTAATGCATATATTTGTAATAAGAGTGAGCTTATGTATAAAGCCTATGTAAACTACTGTATTGCCAAAATTATTTATTAATAATGTAAAACATTAATATATATTACATAATAAATACTTTCATTATTAATATTATTTTTTCTTTAGATAAATTAAACTATATAATTTATATAAATTAAACTATATTAAATTTCCTTTGCATTATTAATCATGTTTTATCTAATTTACATTTAAATAATTTTATTAATTTTTTTAAATAATTTTATATAAGGTCTATATATTAATTTAATTATCATAATAAATATTT